ATTCAAAATAAAAGATTGGTGGAAGAAATCCACAGCTCGCCAGATTACTTTCGTCCAAAAGGCGCGCCGGCAGCAGGTAAATGGAAAAGCTTGTTTAATCCGAGGCAAAGTACACTCGGTGTTTGCACTGTCATCTCGGCCAATTGCTATGGCACGCGTGGTGACCCCCCCCCCCCAGTATGCGTTTCCACATTACGCACGTTGCGCGCATGTTCTTGCTCCACTCACACGGAAATTACAGTTCACCTCAAGGCGGCTTCACACACTCGTTATTCGGCGAGCGGCGAGCAGCCGCGCACCGAATCCTGAGTAGTGTGAACGGGTTGCTTGCGATTCGCCGAGCGCCGAACAATCAGTATTCGCCTCACCCACCGCGTGTCGGTCTTTAGGACACATCAAAGGGAGCGAACATTCGCCGAACACATCAGATGTTCGGGATTGGGCGAGCAGTAGCTCGCTGCTCGTCGAATGCCGAATGTGTGGAGCCGACCTCAGTTTTCTACGAGTAAATTAATTGACGCTTCTCTTCGTGCTAAACCGGTGAACTCCACATTCCCTAAACATTCACTTTAACTCCGATTTTCAACCATAAGAAACCCCTTCAAAGTTTTATAACCTGGCTAATCAGGCACATCTCTGCTGCCACGCCGTCTCCAGCAGAGGACAACTTTCCGTGCTTTCCTGTTTCCGCCCTCACGGTCTGGCTGGTTCCACTGCCGTTACGACTGGCACTAACTTCAGAAATAATACCGTAATGTGCCCCTACGACTCTTAGGAAATAACGAGGTCTGCTCATAAGAAAAAATATGGATCTATTTTCACTTTTACTGCACTTTTTTTGACATGAAATCCACATTCATTATAAAAAGAGAGAAACAGAGAGACAGAGGTAGAGAGACAGAGGTAGAGAGACAGAGGTAGAGAGACAGAGGTAGAGAGACAGGGGTAGAGGGACAGGGGTAGAGAGATAGGGGTTCTTCTCATACTCACAAATAATTTTCATCATATAATATAAGGAGTAACCATAATTTTTATTTCATTGTATTGAAACCACTACTTACAAAGTAAAGTAAATGTAAATTTAATGGTAAATTTGTTTGTGAAAATTTGATGTTTTTTTTGTTGTTGTTTTTTTGTTTCTTTCTTCGGGTTTTGATATTTATGTAAAATGAAATGTATGCTTGTATAATGTAAATGTAAACATACTATGTAAATGTAAGTCTGCATATATAAGGCAAATGTGTATATTTATTGTGATTGCATATGACCCTGGTAGTTAAAAATTGACATTAAATTTAATTTTAAAAAACGAGTAATGCATTCTATAATGTAAAAAAATATACCTCTAGAATATTCAAATATATTCAATATTGAGAAAAGAAACCGTTTCATTTACTGAACATTTCCAAAATCATTCCAGCTACATAAATCTAAACATAAAGGTCAGACAGTTATAATAACCCAATTTTTTCCGTTACGAAATAAAATTTACCCCAAACCTTTCAATATCTTCCCAAACACGACATTCAAGTCAAAAATTTGAATTTCATGCGCCACATAGGCGATGCAGTCAAATACTTTCAGCAACGGGAAGCAAAGCAACTGAGTGTGATGAATTCTTTCAGGCCCAGTACTCGTACATTTGCCTGTGTAGAACACGCGCGTCGCTGCGTTGTTTGCCGGTGGTCGCTCGGGACTCGCCCACGCCGTCCGCCTTCGCCGCGGCGCGCGAGACCAACCAATTAGCGCGCGCCGGCTCTTACAGCCTCCGCCTACGCGGCGTTATTGGCTTTACGTTCGCGCGCGCGTATAAACTCCGTTGCTCGCTAAGTCGTGAAAAAAAAAATGTTTCAATTCGAATCAAAATATTGGGAAATTAGTGAGAATGCCCGGCGTATTGAAAATGTCCACCGGGTTAGGTGGATCGGGGTGTCAATTGATGTCACTGCCGTGCCTCTGACTGGGGGGACTAGGGTTCGAGTACCGACGGTGACAGGTTTACAGCACTGGCTACGCAGTTAGGTCGGATGGAGAATTGTGGAGGAGAATTGTAGCGTTGGGTTGCTCTGATCGGTAGATGTCCGTGGTTTCTCCGATCAACAACAGGCGAATGCCGGAGTAGTACCCTAACAAAGGGGCCACGAACCGCGCGCGATCTTTCCTTCCTCTTCCTTGTACTACACTTACCTCTTTGTACACACATCTTTCTACACATAATCACCTTGTACTACACTCATACTTGCGTGCAATACACCACCATGCGTGCCGGGAGACCAGTCGAGAGCTTAGAGACTTTCACGACTGGGGCGATGCCCCGCCCGGAGATGGGGCGATGCCGCCCGGAGATACATAATTGAGGAAAAGCCAACGGGTAGGTCATTGCCAAATCTCACCAGCCAGCTGGGAGAGATCACCGCCACATTCCATGATAGAACATGCGGGTCCAATGACCTTTGCAGTTGACACGTCCGGAATCACTAATTAATCGATCAAAAATTGTCTCTATTTCTTTATAAAATTCCATGACATTATTTGAGTATCTACAGTTAAGTGATAAAATGCCTTGAGATAGAAATATCTCAATATAAGGATTTTTATATTGAGATATTTAAATGGCCTGGGCCTGATTAGAGATTATAACAGGTTTGAAAATAAATTTGAACTTTTACAATTTACAAAATTGTAGAGGTTTTAATGAAAATGGGAACTATATCGTATCTAAAAATGCACTTTCTTCTATTTGAGAAAAAAGAAAGAAAAAAAACTTGCAAAGTTTCGTGGTTTATTTTCAAGTATCTCTAAAAAGTAGAATACCTTAATAGTTTTCGGGACAGAACATCTAGATATTACTCCTGTAGCTTTTACCAAGTTTGAGATCAAAATCTTGAAATCTCACCGATATATCTGGGACAATCAGTTCATATAAACAAAATAATACATACAAAATAAAAACAGCCGGACCAATTGACATCCCAATTACTGGGAACAAAACTATGTATTTCCGCTATTTCTTCACCAATCGTGATGATCTTTTGGCATACAGCTAATAGATATTTATCCTGACGTATGCGTAAAGTTTGAGCACAAAATAACCTTAAACACGAATTTTACGACGAAAATGTTGTTGGAGGGAGTGATTCACATAGCTTTCCTCATTCTATAGTACATGGAGGAAAAGTAACTAATTATTTCGATTAGGTTCGAAGAACAGAATGTTAATTACATCCATAGGTTTTCAGGAGTGAGGAATCGTATATTAAGGTTTTTAGAGAGTCTTGTAACTGAAAAAATTCATCACCGTTGAAATGATAGACGTTTGTCATTTCTCGTTATTAAACATTGATCCCAAATGTGCTTCAACTCTCAATATTGTTTCTGAATACTGCCCGAATGTTTTAATGAAGATTAATCTCCAAAATTCAATTATGTTTACAGATACTTTAAATACCAATGACTTTCCGGCTTTGTATTTTACTTGTAATTTCTCCTAATTATTTAGCGCTCTTTTAATTATTTCGTGATATTGATATATTATTCAGCACAAACAAACTCGAATAATATAAGCAAATGTCTTTTAAGTTCAAATATAAAATAGGAATGTTAAGAGAAAAAACTAAAAAAAAGAAGACTGAATTGAAACAACTACGATTAAAATCTATCAAAATTATTATTTTACGCGTATTCTTGCTGCTCAGTTATGTCGTATGTCACAAAACTTTGATATTTTTTTAATATAACCCAGTGGTGGCTTCTTGAGGTAGTTAAGTTAGGCAATGCCTAACTATATAATTAACATGACTTCTTGGCTGTCCGGGTGACGCCGCGTCGTTGGCGAGAGGCCGACGATTCGCCTGTCATGTCGCAAGCTTCCTCAAGGCAATGACGCGGCGTCACCTGGACAGCCAAGAAGGCATGACCTCGATCCGTGATACCTTACGTG